AGCTACCGTGCAGCAAGTTTTCAGGCGACCTGTTATTTCAGCTTGGGTAGTAGTTCTTCCCTGACTGTGTAACTCAGTGCAATCATTTGTCACTGAGCTCCGGGGAGCGGTCCAGAGGGAACAGAGAACATTTTCCAGGCTGCAGCCTGTCACCTGGGCAGTCAGCATCTCTCAGCACTTGCACTGTTCTATAAATTACCTCCGCTAGCGGCTTTCAGCTGCCTGCCCCTCCTAGCTTGGTCAAGCACACCCATCCGTCAGCACGTGTAATATTCGTTACTTTATTGTCTTGCTGATGGAAGAGTTAGTTGTACAGTGGGAAATGCATTAAGGAGGGACTGAATTATTCTGCCTAGGCAACTCACTTTAATCCTTCTGTAATCTTCTGTAAGAGGGGGATTTGCAGTTGCTAAAATCATTGAACAAGAGCCTTTAGTGCTGGGCTATCTTCCGAGAGACCTAAACTAAAGCTGTGTTTGGTCTGCCCCACTCATCCACATCACCCAGCAACGAGAAATGTGTCATCATCCAAAAACAGTTGCCGCTGTCTAACCGGGCCCAAAATTCCTTGGTGTGTTTATCTTGGAAGAAGCGATCTCAGGCAGAGAGTAGCATCCAGGTGATGACCTCACTTTTCAGATAACGAGCTAACCAGAACCAATGCGGTTTTCTGCTGATACACCTTGTGGTATTCCCACCTGCTCCTACGGAGGCTACTCATCCCGACTCGGACCCCGAGAGTTGGTGTCAGATGCTTGACGGACGCACCTAACACGCCCGCGTCAGTCGGGAGATGATCGTCTGTGGATCCTGATGCACTGGAAAACACAGCAGCTCCTACGGCACTCTGGACTCGCTGCATTTCACAGCCACGAGAGGAGACAGTCGACAGGACAGAAAAACGTCTTTGCTTCCTTTATGCTCTATGTAATGAATCAAAGCATTTGGGATTAGCCTCAAATGCTGTAACTACCCTCTGCAGTCATCACGCAGCCTTTTCTCAGCGCCTCTGGCTTCAGCTGCCAATGGGCTATTACTATGTTAATACCACTCTGTATTATTACTGGAAGATGGAGCCGTGCTCCTCATGGAGGTGGGAAGCCAGCGTGGAAGTACACCCCTGGCAGGGATCATTAACATCTCCATCAAGCGGGGCAATGCACACATTTCACTGAAGCAATGATCAGGCCCTTGCTCTGGAGACATTCCTCTGCCAGGAATCCCCTTGGCTGCTCCTGCACCATCTCACCCACTCCTGGACTGGGGATGTTACAGGACGGATCAGAGCAAGGCAGCTCTGGGTACCCCTGTACCTCAGTGACTCCTCTGAGGGCCCTGGGAACATTGGGCTACTTTTGGACATTCGCTTCCTCTTGGGCTCCCACATATTGGCAGTGGCTCATCTGACTTCTCACTTCTTTCGGTTCGTGAAGTGGCTACTGACCTTGTAAGAGGCCCCCTGCTTTGTACTGTTGCAGCGGGCTCTCCTGGGGCTGCTCTCCCATGCCACTCAGCAAATTCTACTGGAGCAAAAGCTGGTGGAGCTGGTGATGCGAGCCACTGCGTCTGTGTTTTGCAAACAGCACTGGGTTTCCACCTGCTTCTAGGTGCGAATCTGATGTCTCATCTACACAAAATCCTATGCAGGAGGGACCTGGCTTAGCTAGCGATACTCAAAGCTCATGGCTGCTGGGGCACTTTTGCTGCACTTGGGGGCTGGAGGCAGGGCACTTCTGGCAATGGGCCTTACCTGAGAAACTCTTGGTCTCTTGTTGTTTGGAAGAACTAGAGCTTGCTGACCCTCAGCTCACAGTGAAAGACCTCTTTTTATCAAGCACTTTTCTGGGCAACAGGAGGTGGAAAGCTGTTTGTGGAGGGAAGCCTTCTACAAGGGGAGGTTTAAAATAGCTCTGCAGGAGGTTTATCTGTCTGCTGCGCCCAGATGCCACAGCCATCACCAGGTTATTAAAAAGAACCCAGCAGCTGTGATGAGGGGGCTGAAATGAATGAAGATCAAAAACATGCTCCCTTTTCATTATGCTATAAATGAGGTTTCTCCCACTGAAACTCAGCAGCTAGAAAATTTTCACACCTTGCCAGTTGTTGACATGAGACTTTGCGTGTTAGCAAATCCAAGAGATTTGCATAATTCAGTATGGGACTAACAGGAGCTGACTATTTACACAAGCACAGACACAGTGATAACTGCCTTAGGCTCTGGAAAAAAAGCCTCTGCGATGTTTCGTGTCAAGTGAAGGCACCGACATCCTGGTCTGAGGTATCCGTATGCAAGTCCCAAGGAGTGCTGGGCTGACAGGCTGCTGCTGCACTCATGCTGCTGAGACTGGTTATGGGGGTCTGCTGTGATGACCATGATGAGGAGGGCATTCAGAAAACACAAATCACGTGTCCCTGCTAAACTCAAGAGGTGGGCTAGCTGCAGGGCACCCTCTGACTTATTAATCAGCTAACGATCTGGGTCCGTTCCGGGTTTAGCACAGAACGCTGTTGCATACTCGGTGCGTAGGAACAGAAGCCGACTTTGAGAGTAAGACTCGGGATCCTTTATAAAATACCAGTGTCTGCCCCTTCTGCGATTTTGCTGCAGGGCTGCTCACCTCTTACGCGAAGCCCTGCCAGAACGACTGTGGCATCAACACATTAATGAAGACGACAGCGTAGCTTATTAACAAATCAAAGTGCTTCCTGGTACTTATGAGGACAGCAGAGTCTGTGATGTTACCATGCTGGATCCATTTACGAGTGAACTGGAGACCCGCTATTTTCTGTACACCAAGGAATTCTGATTTATGGTGTGCTTGAAATTACTGTGGATTTCTATTAAAGACCAACACTTGGCAGCAAGGTACCCTACTTACCTGTAATTTAGTTCTGTAACAGTAGTATTCTCCATAGACCTCACATCCTTTGGTTTTTTTTGTTTTTCAGATATGTGACTACGCGAGCCAACTTGGCATTTTTCAAGGATCGGACCGCTCCCATGAGGCTCTCCACAAA